AAAGATATCAGTCCAGATCTAGAAACAGCCATTCTCCCAGGAACTCTGCTGACTAGATTTGGAGATGTACTTATCTCTTATGGCAGTTATAGCTTTATGGTAGAGAGGGGGTATTGTCAGTTAGGATCATTCAATTTGCTCTGAAAAAGATATCAGTCCAGATCTAGAAACAGCCATTCTCCCAGGAACTCTGCTGACTAGATTTGGAGATGTACTTATCTCTTCTGGCAGTTATAGCTTTATGGTAGAGAGGGGGTATTGTCAGTTAGGATCATTCAATTTGCTCTGATTCATGATCAGCAAGTTACTTGATTATAACTTACCTTTCCATGTAGAATGTGTCAATCAAAGGGTCTGAGGAAAAGACCCCATCACAGTTCTGCTTTTCTTCATTAAGTTCATATGTATCAGCTCTGGGTACTCCAACAAAACCAAGTTTCTGAGCCTTTATAATTGAGCGTCAGACCCTGACCCATGCGATGGAATTGAGCTGAGCAGTCAGCTGGCAGCCAGCTGGCAGTCCTCTGTCTCATCATGGCTCTAACACAACTGTACTCTCCAGAGGCAGGACAGCGTCTGGAGCAAGCACACACCTGAAGGTGTCTTGTCAAGTTGTTTCTGCCCCAATTCCATAGTTGAATGCCAGTTAAAGCACAGTCACTCCTTGGAGTTCACTAGCTCTTTAACCAAAAGGTAAGGCCAACTACACCACCACTTGCTTCATGAATCTTCAGATGCTTTCTTACCCCTAAACAAATGCATTTGCATATATTCTGTGAGTCAGATTTAGAACTGAATCATATGACCCACAGAAGTAGTTTATGGAAACTCAGTAAGTAGCTTCCTTTCTTGGGGAAGAGAAAGGTGAGTGGTATCCGGAAAGACATGCTCCAGGGGACAGGCCTAAACTGCTATCAGCAGAACCTGTAGTATGTTAGGTCTGGAAAGGATCCCAGGGCAACAGACAAATCCTTATGTAAGATGGAAGGGACTGCAGTCTAGGAAGGTCAAGGCATAAGGTCTCCCAGATAGATAGTCAACAGGCAGAGTAGGGACACTAAATGCTGGCTCCCCGATTCCAAATGCAGAGGACTTCCCTCATTTTCCCTCATTTCCTGACTTCCGCATGTGCAGAAATCAACACATGAAAATTAAGACACATGAGATGACTCTAATATTTTAAATTAATGCTTATCTCTTTCATATGCCTCAAACTCTTGTGCTCATTTAGAAGTTGATGTAGTTATTTCCACATTACACTGCATTTTGTTTTCCTAGCCCTAAGTATTGATATAAATACCGCTGCTCTTTACCTTTAGTCTGACCACAGGCTGACAAAATGAAAAGAAACAAAAAAAAGCTGCCCTCTGTCCACCAAGCTGCATTTTGCTCACTCCTGACAGAGCAGCTACCTTCAAATTCATGCCTGTCTTCCTTTTTTCTAGTGCTGTTGCCCTCTTCCTGTCTCCTGAGCAGGCCTCCAGCTCTCCCTTTCCAGTTCATGCCTTTCCTGGCTGCCAAAGGCATTTTTCTAACAGTCCCTACTAGGTCTCTCCTCTGCTGAACATGATTCTATGGTTCCCACACATCTTCAAGATAAAGTCCACTCAAAATGCCCCCAGCCTGGACGCAGCTCACCTCCCTTCCTAGCTGCTTCTCTCGGCAGTGTCCCCACATGCACCCAACTCTCCAGGTACCTGAAAAAGACAAACCTGTGCCTCTGAACCTGCTGTTCTCTTTGCTCATCTTCTCTCTTAAAATCCTACTAGCTCTTAATACAGATCAAATGACCCCTCTTCTGTGAAGTCTTCCTCATCCCCAAACTGGAATCGTTCCCTCTTGGGCACTCTATACCCTCCCCTTATGTGTTTCCAGTGGCCTCCGTATAACTTCACTTAAACATGCATGGATCTGTGGCCTTTAGCACCAGAATGCAACTGAAAGGTAGGGCTGTAGCCCCGAACTAGCAAGAAACTGGCATAAGTGATTGCCCTAGTATCTGGGGGAAAAGTGCATAAGGCTTTTCCAGCACAGAAGGAATGCAGACATCCTCCAACCTGTCATAAATACTGGTGTCCTAAAAGGGATGACATCTATTGGAAGTCAAACATCACCACAAGCAGGACAGGATGTGCCACTGTGGTTTCTGATCATTTACAGCAGCTCCTCTCCTGAAGGCCCATTTCCTCCCACAGGGCCTGCCTACTTTACTTTCTAGGGGGCCACGTCCCAAGGCTAGTGAGACATGGCTCAGGGAGAGACATGGCTTGCCTCCTCAGCTTTGCAGGGTATGGCCTGCCGAAAACACACCTGGGGTAGTGGAGGCCATCAATCACTAGGAAAAAAAACAGAGTTTTTCTTCTCCCCAAGAAATTTCAACTTTAATGGGTCTGATGTAAAGTGTTGTGTTATTCTGGGAAAAAAAAATTCCTAGTTTAACGTATCACTCTCTAAATTAAAAACCCTGAAGTAAGCCAATGCACTGTCTCTCAGATCAATATCCACTTTTATGAGCCATGAATTCCTGAAGCAGAAAGAGACCCAACCATTCGTCCAATACGTTGATCAAAAGACACAGAGAGTGAGAAAGGCTCTCAAACGCTCCAGGCTGCGTATGGATAAGGAGCCAGCTCAGGGGGCACTGACTGCAGCATTATTTATACATTATTTATATCTAAATCTGGGTAAGAATCTGAATGTCTTTTGACAGAAGAATGGATGGATTTTTGAATATGTACACAATAAAATACAGTGCTGGGCTGAAAACGGCTGAAATAGAGCGACACGCAGCAACACAGATAAATCCCCAAAATACAAGTGAAGAAAAGTAAGTTGTGGAAGGATCTATACAACACTACCATTATGTAAAGTTCTAAAATATGGAAACAAGGTGATAGATTGTGCAGGAAGACATGGCAAAGGCATTAAGGGTATAAAGGTCTCACAGTCACAAGCACCAAAATCAGAGGGCGGGAGAGTGGACCTTCACGGGGGCTTCTACTAAGTGTTTCACTTCACTATTTGGTTGAGTGATGGTACGTAGGCTTTCATTATACTTACTAAGTCCTTTGTATGTATGAAATATTTTATAATGAAGTTAGTATTTAAGATAAAGTTCTGTGCAAAATCTCCAGTGTTAGGTGCTTTAGGTAAACAACGAGTCCCCCCAGGAGTTTACCAGTCTCTTTCTGCTGGGAGGTTGAACGAGATTCCTCGCCAGGCCTTGCATGGGCAAAATCTGGTTTTCAGTGAACCTTCCCTCCTTGATCACCCCCCTCCTGAGACCTTTAACCTGCACTGTGTCCTTTTCTTCTGAGAGTGAGCAGGCAGATCAGCTTTAACACCAGCATCTAGGAGTCTAACACCGGTAGGAGCCCCAGAGCCTGAGTCACATGGCTCAGGGGACATATGGGTGCTAGCTGGGTGACTTAGCCAAATCCCTCGACCTCACCAGGCCTCAGTGTCTTCATTTGTACAGTGAGAGGTTTGGATCCCTCAGGAAAGTCTCTTCCAGCTCTGAAATCTTTGGCCCACGAATGACATCAAAAAGACTGTTAGTGCTGGTCCTCCTCATGGAAGAAGACTTTTGGGTCAGGTGCCTTTGGCTCAATGCTGGGGACTCTCTGGTGTCAGGGTAAACAAGTTATTTATTAAGAGTATTCCACAGAAATGCTCTCCCACATGTCTGAGTCACAGTGAAAACAGGAAGCCCACGCCTTTTTCTTCTGAGGACCATCCCACGTGCCCACCACCTTCAACCAGCTGTAAAAACGCCCTCATGAAACCTCCACAGAGCCAAGGCCGAGGGGCTGCTCCGTGGCAGGGCGGAGGCTGGGGCGGGAGGCGCCACGGCACAGCGGCCCACCCTCAGGACCAGCAGCACCAGGGCGGTCAGAAAGAAGCCATCCAAGAAATGCGCCCTGAGAGAAGGCGTTTCCTAACTGGTCTCCCAGCCCCCAGGCATTCTTATTCCATTTACCCGATTATGGCACAACAGTGAGAAGGAACACAGGACACAGACCTTAAAATTAATAATTTTAATAGCATTTTTAAAAAACAAAAATGTAAGCACATAGTACAAGGTTCAAAAGCTAAGACCCCCTCCCAGTCCTGACCCCGAGCCAAGCAGTTTCCCTCCCAAGTAGCAACCAGTGTTCTCAATTTCTGGTGATAGTTAACACACGTACAAGCATATAAACATATATACACACATATACACGTGATTTTAAAAACATGTTCTATACCTTGTTTTTTTAATATTTTTTTCTTTTGAAAAGACCCAAACTTAGAGAAAACTTGAATGAGCCCCATATGATTCACCTAAATACTAACTAATAATATTTTGCTACATTTATCTTTATTAATATGTTATTTTCCTGAACCACTCAAAAGTGTATTGCAGGCATCGTGATACGTAACCTCAGAATACATCAGAATGTATCCCACATGAATAAGGACATTCTCCTAACAACCATAACAACATTATCACAGCTATGAAAATTAACATCAATTTAATAATATCATCTAATATGGAGCCCATATTCAAATCTCCCAAACTGTCTCAAAAATAAACTTTGCTTTTTAAACTTAACACTGTATATCTTGGAGATTCTTCTGTACTCAAATGGTAACGCCTCAATCTTTTTATAATAATAACGACAGCTCATATCTAGTAAATGCTGACTATGTGTCAGGCACTTTTCTAAGCTTTTCTTTCTGCCAGGAAACAGTAGTTTCATGTCTCTAACTCCTTCCTCCACACCAAACTCAGCATGCTAAAATTCAAATATTTTTATATTTTGGCATGGAGGTTTGAGACATTACATCCTCACCACTGTCACACAATTGTGCTTACATTGGTCTTACATTGCATGACGTTGATATAGAATTAAAGAATCTTAGCACTGGAAGGGAATTAAAAGGTCACCTAAGCTTACCTCTGCTCAGTACAGAAATTTCTTTTACAGCATTCCCAAAAATGGTCAAATGGATTTTACTTGAATTATTGCCATGCCAGGGAACTCGGCCCAGTGCTGAAGTTGTGGTGTTTGCGGCCTATCAGGCTATCAAGGATTAAGATGCTCATAAAGTATTTATTGACTACCTACTATAAGGACTGCATCACCCAAGCACCCTGGGGAACAAAAGACAAGTATGACATTATCTTTATGTCCTAGAGCTGTGGCTCCCAAACTGTATGCCAAGGTGCCTGGAGCACTACAATGAATCTGTGCCATGGGATATTTTAAATTTTCAAGGGAAGCAACATGATACCCAACATCTGTTAGGCACTGAACAAACTGCTAGATCAAGATGGGTCACAGCTTCAACATTAGCTCTAGCAGCATTCCTTTTGATGATCTCATATCTTTCAAATCTGGGTATTTGGCAGTCATTTTATAAGAGCAAGTATTGTGTGACAATCCATGTAGAACAGGAAAAGAGTATGACAGTGTCCCATCTGACTCCAAGGTTTGGGAAGATGCATAGCACCCAACAGGAGCACACAGCCTAGTAGTAAATAAATGTAGTTATTTAAGGATAAAATAATTACATTTTCTTTTAATTTATGCACAGTATTTTTTCAAATGGCTACTAAATTGGTAAGACATAATTACTTATTAAGCTGTTTGGTCCTAACTACTTAATAAATGGAACTGCTATGGATTTCTTTTGGTCCAGGGCTCTGCGGAATAATTCCTGAGACTCTAGGGTCACCAGGGACCAAGAAAGTTTGACAACTTGTTCTGCAGGACTCACAGCCAAGCTTCAGAGACCAGAAGTCATGGCAGCGATGCAACGAGGATGTGAACAGTTAGGCTTATACACTCTCCTAGGATCAGCAGCCCTTCCAGGAGTTCAGAGAGGACGGAGCAGAGTCAGTTGGAGCCCAGCCTAGAGCAGAATCAAACAGATAGGACCGGCCTGCCCCGACCCGTGGGGTGGGAAGTGCTAGAGTAAAGAGGATTGGGAATGAATATGACCTGTTCTGGAGACAGCAAGAGAACACTGGTCTGGCTGGGGGTCTTGGAGGACCAGCTGAGAAATTTGGAGCAGTGGGGGAGGTGTTTAGTCACAGGAGTGACATGTTAAAAACCAGTGTCTTAGGAAGATTAATCCTAGAGGGGGTGGTAGATGGACTGGAGGGATGAGAAAGAGGCAGGTGGCCAGTTATAACCCATGAAGGAAATTCTATCACCTGAAAAAGCAATTTGCTTCCGTAGGAAAAGCCTGTTATAATACAGAATAGGTGTGTCAGTCCCCTCCTTCAACAGCAGCTCTATGCGGGGGTGCCACACTGCAAAGTGCCAAAACTATAATCCCCAATAACAGGAATTGCATCCCTCGATTGTGCTGGGAAAATTGCTATTTTAGAATTCTAACCTGGGCTCACTGGAATCAAGTTTTTGGAAATTCTTCTTGGAGACCATAGCCTTGTTTCTAGGAAAGGATATATAAAAAGGGGTAGCATGGAACAGGAGGAAAAAATACTAAATTGAGAGTCAGGAGACCTGGGGTTGAATCCCAATTTGACCACCAAAGAGTGGTCTGAAGCCTCAATGTTTTCATTCATAAAATGAAGGTTCTATGACTTGAGATACAAAGAAATATTAAATCTCCAGTGAAGGCTTGCATCCTACCTGATGAGTCAGGTCCGATCTTTATGTACACTGGTAAGTAGAGCCAAAGTTGTGGTTTTAACATTTCATCCCCATTTGTGTGAAGCATTTATGTCAATAAAAGGTTCTATATTATTAAAATATCCAGTACACTATCATTACTGTAATAGCAGGGAATGTATACAACAGACGGGAATATAAGCAGCGACTTATGGGAAACTGAAACCAGCCTCGGGTACCAAAAGTTGCCCCTTGACGACGGCTCACAGCAACATTTAAAATGAAAATTAAGCGACTGAGCTGCTTCGTATCTCAAGGGAATAAACAAGCTCTGTACAAACTGCATTAACACAGAGTAAGAACATCCGAGTGTAATGGGGTAAATACTAGAAAATCAGGGGAAACCAGGACAGAATAACATATTTAGAACTTGAAATAATTATGAACACAAGAAATACGCAATACAGGTTTCATCGGAAATGGCATTAGAAAAGTCCTATGGATTTTTGTTTATTTTACTTTAAATCCAAGTATTAACAGCTTTATTTTTCTCTTCCAGCTTCAGGTGTAATAATGCATCCCACAGTAGTAGCCCACAAAGCACTCATGATTCTTTAAAGTGGGTATAAAATCACATAAGACAGCATTTGGGACCCCCTACGTGACAGGATTATTAAATGTTGGGGCTTGGTGAAGAGACGTGCAGGCATTCTCTGTTTTTTTAGTGGCCCCCGGCTGTTGTAGTCTCTTTGTTAGCCCTTAATGCCTTTTTAGAGGCACTAGTCTAGTGAGGACACAAAGCCCTGGCCTGAGCAGCCCCCAGAAAGGACCAGGATAAACACACTATGATCTGCCTCTGATCGCAGCTCTGTGTCACAGCTTTTGCCATGGTAGGTAGGTTGTGGGGGTGGGGGGGAGTGGGAAGGAAGGGAGGGGAGGAAAAAAGCATTCTCTTATCCTTGGGAAACTTGCAGGACCACTTCCCTTGGTGAGAATGCAAGCCCAGTCTTCACCTCCCACTGCTCCTTACAGGTCAGCGAACCCATTCATGGATTAGGAAGTGACCCCAAAGCACGGGTGTGAGGAGAGGCTGCACAGCGGTGGAAACACTTGGAGAGGACGCTGCATCCTGTTTAACTTGGCCTTGCCAGTGCCAAACCCTCTCTCTGTGAATGTTTTTTAAGTTAGTCAAAGAGCGATAGCGTCCTCCTTCCAGAGGCCTCTCCTCCCATGAAATGGGCTGTCCTCTGTCCTTGTGAACCTAGCCTCCCCGCGTCACTTAACCTCCCCTGCATGGACTTCCTCCACTGCGAGGCAGGGCTAAGCCCCCTTTACTCACATCAGAGGGAAGTGGAAGTGTGAGGTGCTTGCAGAAGATGATACACACCAGAAGGCAGACAGACCTCACCGTGCAAATTAACTGAGTTAACATCCGCTATGTATGTTTTGCATCTCCCTGTCAGCCATTCAGTTAAGAGAAAATAAAGGGAGGATGTGGGAAGTTAAATGGAACTAGATAAAGTGTGCTGGTGACCAGAATTAAGGAAGAGTTCTCTAGAACTACGCTTATGAAAAATGACCTAACAGAAACTGGGTATCCGTGGCTATTACAATGATGGAGACAGTGTAGAGAGTTGGTATTAGGAGAAATGTGAAAGCTCAAATATGGCTATAGGTGGATAACTAAGCCTAATTTCTCATCTCCTAAAAAGGTACCTGTTGGGAAAATAGAATAATTTAATTAGGCCCTCTTGCCTTTGGTCCGGTTGGGGGTGCTGTGGCTGATTCTTTATAAACGAGTTGTGTGTGGGCTGAGTTAGTGCGCACGGGTGGCACCACAGCTTGGCTGGAGTCTACTGCCTCGGGTGTGTGCCGCATGCAGCTATGCTCTCGAACCTACGGCTCCAAGGACCTTTTGGCCGGTCACCTAGCTCACAGACCTGCGTGTGAGGGGTCTAGTGACCCAGCCTGGCATGTGAGGGGTCTGGGGACCCAGCCTGGTGTGTGAAGGGCTTGTGACCCAGTCCATGAATGGGCTTGAGGGATCTGTGAGCTCCAGACCCAGTCCTAGCATGACAGTACCTTTCTCCCATAGTTTTTAGGGAATTGCCTGCAGCCCTTCTGTAGAGGAAATAACCACTGAGCACCTTGGTCTGGGCATCCTCCCTCTCCATGGACCAATACAACAGGGAGTTGCTGGCAGCACCAAGCTTCTGGTGACTGGGGGTCTCTGCCACCTTGTCTCCTCATATGAGGCAAATTGGGAGCAAGCGTGGTCCAAGGACTTCAGTGCCCCATCTCTGCTTCGGATGATGCACTTTACCCCTCCCCCAATAAAAGCCTCCACAGGTGCACTACTGTCTGTAGCAGGAAGCCCCAGTCTCCATTTCCTGCTCAGGATTCCCTCTGCTGCCCAACCCTGTCTGTCCAAACTTCTCTCTCACTATTTCCCAATCCCCACCCTCTGCCCCCCAGGCATTCCTACCTTCCAGCTCTCATTTACCTTGTGCTCCCTATTTCTGTCCATGCTTCAAGATCCATGACAATCCCTAACTCCTTCCCCAGGCAGTCTGACCCACACTATCTTACCAGAAGTCACCTGAGCCTGCACTGTCTGCTCTGACCCCACAAGCATATAAGCAATCATAGAATATAAGGTTTGGATGAGGCCTTACAGAGCGCACGGACAACCTCCTCACCACTGACAAATGGCTGCCTGGTCCTATGACAGTATATGACACATCCTCCATAAATGTGAGTCCTCCACAGCTGCATTCAGTCAGAGGCCACCCCTTCCATTCTGTTCAACAGCTTCAACTGTTGGTCTTTGTCAAATAGAACCAAAGGCTATGCCCTGTAATGTCTTCCTGATCCTAGCTTTGCCGTCAGGGGCACCTGCCTCACATATAAAACAGCCTTCGCGTATCTGTGGATGGGATACATGCTTCCCTCTGGTTTTCTCTGCTTCTACCTAACTTCTCATTCCTATATTTGAGAATGTTCCTCATAACATGGTTTCCAATCCTGGTTCTCACTATCTTGCAGCATCTTTAGGTGTGGTGATCTGACCTGAAGCCAACACTCCAGGCATGGGTTCTGGCAGTTCCTAGAAAGGTAACTTCACAGCACGGACGCTGTTTGTGATGCCCCTTCACGACACTACCTCACTCACGTCCTGCTTGTAAGCATCTACAACCTCTTCTTCACAGGGCTGTTCAGTCATGTCTCCCCCAGCCTGCACTCATGGAGAGTTATGTTTTCTAAGACCTACCTAAGTACTTATGTACACTTGTGCCTGTTGTATTTTGCCTTGTTAGGCTCAGCCTCTTGTCTGTCATGACCTCTTTGGATCCTGATTTTAGTATTATTCTCAGTTTAGCACCATCCATGAATTTGCTAGACATGCCAATTTTCTCCTAATCTAAATTCATAGGTAAAGATGCTGAAAAAGAGACTTTTGAAGACTTAACCCTTATACCATATCCCCTTCCCTGCAGTCTGCAAACTGTGCTTTGTATGATACTACCCATATAATAAATGCTTACACATAATTATTGAATTACACCAAATATTACCCCATATCAAAGAATGTTATAATTATATTTTCATGGTAATAATGGAATCTATCCCAATTATTCCTTGCTGGGTTCATTTTCTCTCTTTCTAAGCCTCCCTCTCTCTAGCCCTCAGGAGTGTGGGAACACAATGCAGCCAGCAAAGCCCAAGGAATAAACATTATGTGAATAACATGTTCTTTAAATCCTATTGTACAGTCTATCCTGATTGGCTGCAGAGTCAGTTTATAGAAAACCCATCGCATTAAAGCAGATAACATCTGAGAGTCCTCTGATTTCCTGTTTGGCTCCAGTGTCGATATAATAATAGCTTCTT